TAACATGGAAATATAAAGGCTAGAACTTAAGGCAACCTGAGAGAGAAATGATGACACTCTAATTGGGACCATGTGGTAGGCAGATAATGACCCTCCCTCTCCCCAAACTTGTAAGTATGTTACCGTATTTGGCAGAAGAAACTTTGCAGAGGTGAATAAGGGCTAGTCGTTGAAAGTGAAAGCCTTTCCTGGCCCTGGTCTGAGAAAGAAATGTGACTCAGAAGCAGGTCAGAGAGATACTGCAGTACTGGCTTTGAGCGTGGATCAAGGGGAACACGAACAAAGGAATGAGTCTGTAGAAGCTGGAAAAGGCAAGGATAGGGAATGCGGCCCTGCTGGCACCTTTTATGATTTGACCTTTTGAGACTTGCATATATTTGTGTTGTTTTAAACCACCAAGTTGGTAATAAATTGCTATGTTAGCAATAGAAAACGAATCAATGATTCTCTCTCATCATTGATGTTTCTCTCTCTCCCTCTCCCTTCCTCTCTGAAAATCAATAAAAATATATTAAAAACAAAACAAGTTAAGTCACTTTTTCAAGATCACATTCTAGTGCCAATGCTAGCTTCTGTACAAGGGCTGAAAGATACATGGCAGATACATATGACAGAAAATCTATAAGGTTTTTCTTTAGTTCAGCTTCTGACAGCTGGCTCATGCCACAGATGAAGAGCACTTTCTAGAACACAAGGGGAAACCTTCTAAATGGGAAGAGGCTTCAACCTGAGTTCAAGGTCCAATGACGATTCTAGATCTAGATACAATGTTCACATGAACTAAAAGTCAGACTAAATATACAACCAGAATCAGAAAAGCTAAGACCTGGAGCAATGGTATCATAAACAAAGAGTAACTGTGACCCTGACAGGGTGGCTTAGTTGGTTGGAGTGTCATCCCGTACATCAGAAGGTGACAGGTTTGATTCCTGGTCAGGGCACATACCCCAGTTTCGGTTTCAATCCCTGGTCATGGCGCATGCGGGAGACAAAAGATCGATGTTTCTCTCTCACATCTATGTTTCTCTCTCTCTCTCTCTCTCTCTCTCTCTCTCTCTCTCTCTCTCTCTCTCCTTTCTCTCTCTCTCTCCTTCCTCCACCCCTCCCTCCTTCCCTCTCTCTAAAAATTATAAATATATTTAAATATATTAACAATATTTAATTCAGCAATATTTTATAAAAGATTTTTGTTTCTGATCTACATTAATATAAATTAACATTTACTAAGTACTTACAAAATGCCAGTCACAATTCTAAAGACTCTTAAGTGTATTAAATCATGACAACTCTATAAGATAGGTACTCATTTTACATGAGGAAACTGAAGCACATAAAAGTTAAGTCATGCCCTGGCTGGTTTGGCTCAGTGAATCAAGCGTTGGCCTACAGACCGAAGGGTCCTGGGTTCGATTCCCAGTTAGGGCACATGCCCGGGTTGCAGGCTCGATCCCCAGTAGGGGGCATGCAGGAGGCAGCCAATCAATGATTCTCTCTCATCATTGATGTTTCTATCTCTCTCTCTCTCTCTCTCTCTCTTCCCCTTCCTCTCTGAAAATCAATAAAAATATATTAAAAACAAAAAAAGTTAAGTCACTATTAGTAAATGATGAAACTGGGAACATGGATAAACATAAGACTAATTGTTATGTACTATTTTTACCAGATTTGGAAATCAAGCTTATAAAGAAATGTGAAGCTATCAATTTTAATATGTTCTGGAAAAGTTTCTAGAGCACAGGAACTATGTTTTCTGAAACTTGAATAATCAAACCCATAATCTGATCTGGGTTTGAATTCTACTTGACATTAAAATTTAGACCTATTTTTCTTTTTGTGTTTGCCTCATATTTTTGTCTATTGTTTGCATGGACTCTGGTGACATGATTCACGTGCATTCAACTATTTTGGATAGGGCCTAACCACTTTACCTAGTTGCCTAGGGACCATAATTAATAGTCACAGGGTGGGGGCTGGCTATGCCAGAAAATTAGCCATGTGATTTGGGTTGGGGGACTCTGGGTCATTGGTATCAGTCAACTGGAGACGGAGTATACATGGCAATCAATCAATCATGCCTAGGTAATGAAATCCTAGAGCACATGTCAGTCCCACACTTGAACCCTGGAAGATAACATGTCTTGACTTCCCAAAGACAGGAAAATAGAAGCTCCACATTTAGAGCCCTCCAAGACTCTGCCCTGTGTATCACTTCCTTTAGCTTATTTTAATATGTACCCTGTCCCTTTAATACAACTTAACTGTAATTATAAAAACTTTCAGTGAGATCTATGAGTATAAGCCTTAAAAAACCTGAGAGTGCTTTGGGAAACCCCCCAAACTTTCAGTTGGTGTCCGAAGTGAGAGCAGTCTTGGAACTATGCCCTCAAACTTTGTAGTTTGGCTAATTTCAGGTATAGCTAAACTATCTAAAGGAACTAATAATTTATTCTCTTTTTAGGACAAGAACTCTAACTGATCATTTGTGATATACATTTTCACTACTAAATTTCTTACATATGATTTTAGAAAAAGATAACTTATAAACAGATTGCTGAAATATAGCTAGAGACTCAGAGTATATTGGAACTGGCAGAGAAATGGTTTGCTAACTGTCCTTAATGGTTTGTCAAATGTCCCTATCAAAGCATTCAGTGCATGCTGAATCTAGTTACATATGTGTCTCCTCTTCTAGATTCAGAGCATCTTGCTGGCAAGATCTTAAGTTGTTTACTCTGATGTTATCTAGCCTTCACTTAGGCCCTGACAGATAGTAGGTGCTCAATATTTATCTCAGTTAAAACAACATAATCTGACTCAATTGAACTCTACAAAACTCTGAATAATTTCAGGAAAGTCTCTTAGGTTAAAAAGATATTCTCCAGTACCTGTCAAAGAGTGAATATTCCACCCCTCACTTATTTTTTTCCCCTAATGTCTCCAACAGCCCACTGGCAGTAAGCAAAAATGTCTAGAAATAACACATAGTACTTTAAAAATAGATTATTTTAACATATCAGATTATTTTCTAATTTAGCAGCTCAAAAACTTTGAAATATGGTATGCACCAGGCATTTTAATGGAAAAAGACTTTAGAGAGCTAGCTCTACAGCAGGGCAAAGTAAGAAATTTGATGATGGATAGATGGGTTTTGCAGGCTGTGGGAGGCTGAGAGACAGAAATGGAATAACATAAAAGCAGTGATTACCAAAATAGGAAAGGAATACTAAATGGACATAATGTGAGGAAATTTCAAGATAATTAGCAAATTTGACAATTTTAAGACACACTTTCAGAAAATTAAATATTTCATATAACTAATACAATCAACAGTCCCAGTGTTTGGTTTCAGTAGTGCACAATTTACTCTATGTCCACATTATACAATCTCATTAAAAGGCCCAAGTTTAAAATTGAACTCTTAAATTTTTGCATGCCTGTTTTATCACTCTTTACTGTTCTTTATTTCTTCCTAGAATTTTTAAGATGTTCTACAGATTTTGTGATTTTTAAACTTTGATTTCAATGTAATTTATCACAGAAGAATGTTTTAAAATATATGAAAAAAGAGGAAATATTCAATCTCCATACTCAGTTTTAGAATAATTGTTATAAGAGGTCAGCTTTGATTATTTCTAAGTAATTTCTTTCGGTATTGAAAAAGAAAATGCCAGATAAGCAATTGGTTTTTGTCAAAATGTATCCTTTATAAAGGTTAAATGAACACTCATGTATACACAGGAAGTTAAACATAAAAACTGTTTAAGTTATTATTATAACACTAGAGGTCTGGTGTATGAAAATTCATGCACTCGGGGGGAGGGGGGGAAGGTTCCTCAGCCCAGCCTGTGCCCTCTCGCAGTCCAGGACCCCTCGAGGGATGTCCACCTGCCAGCTTAGGCCCACTCCCTGGGGAAACGGGCCTAAGTTAGCAGTCAGACATCCCTCTGGCAGCCCGGGAGTCCTTGAGGGATGTCTGACTGATGGCCTGCGGGGAGCGGGCCTAAGCCTTCAGTTGGACATCCTTAGCGCTGCCGAGAGGCAGGTGAGGCTCCCACCACTGCCACTGTGCTCCCGGCCGTCAGCCTGGCTTGTGGCTAAGCAGAGCTCCACCTGTGGGAGCTCACTGTCCACCAGGGGGCAACTCCTGTATTGAGCATATGCCCCCTGGTGGTCAGTACACGTCATAGCAACTGGTCGTTCCAGGTCGTTCAGCCATTAGGGTCAATTTGCATATTAACCTTCTATTATATAGGATTACTAACAAGTCAAAAGTTATATCTTAAGTTGCTTTAGGAAGGAAAAATAAAACTATAAAAAGTATACATATTTATTTCAAGTATCAAGGTCTTATTTGATAATGAATCTGTTCCGGACCTAGGTCTGAAATTTGTATGTAACTTTTAAAAAGTCTATCCTTAACTGACCATTTTCTTTCATCTCTATTTCAGAAAATTCTACCTTTAATTTCTAGTATTTTTCACCCATAAGTAATCCTGGATATTAGCAATAAAGGATGAGCAAAAATATGTACTATTTGATATATGACTTTAAGATTCTAAAATACCATTGCAGGATGAGAAAGACTAAACTCCAAATCATCTACCTAAGGTTTAACACAGACTTTTAGGATAAAATCATTTCAGACTGATTAAACTTAATATCCTTTGGGTTCCTATGTAGTATGAACATAATAATTTAAAAAAAGAAACTATGATAGTCTAAAGTAAAACATAATACTCTATAGAATAATAGTATGAATACTCATCAAAGGATAATAGACACTAAAGAAGCTGGTAAAGAGTAATAATATTATAAAAGAGGGAAAATGAAAAGAGAAAATAATTTTCTTATAAAAGTTGGGGGACAGGTTTGAGGAGAGGAGAACCAGCCAGAAAATAATTAATTTTATGAGGTTCTTGGCATAAGCTCAAAATAAAGGAATTGTTGTTTTGTTTTGTTTTTGAAGGTTAACAGCTTTCTTAGAGACTTAAATTGTTTACCTCATTTTCTGTTCCCACGTCCAGAGTGACGGGCAGACATGCACGAGGATTCATCCCTCCACAAGCTGTATACAGAGCCAATTTACCCACAGGGATGCCCATTCCATTACTACCAAGGTCTCCCAAGCCAAGAATACGCTCTCCATCGGTCACCACAATAGCCTAGAAGAAAAAGAAAAAAATATCTATTAATAGGTAGATGGTCACAAATCCTGGGCTGCAGTTCCTGGTCTCCATTCCTGAAGTTAATCCTTACATAATAAAATACTAAACTGTCAAAATACATAAACTAAATATACATGAAAAAAATGTTATGTGATTGTACATGTGGAAGAATAAATAAATTTGATATATACATGAGAGTAAATAAATTTGATATATGCACTTTATATTTTGTTAAAAATAAATGTAAGTGCTTAATATGGTTGTCGAAAAAAGAAGAGAGGACTATGCACATAAAGACTTAAACAATCCAGCCCTGACCAGGAGGCTCAGTGGGTTGGAGCATCATCCCATACACCAAAAGGTGGAGGGTTCGATTCTGATCAGGGCATATACCTAGTTTGTGGGTTTAATCCAAGGTTGGAGTGCTTAAAGGAGGCAACAGACTGAAATCTCTCTCTTTTTTTCCCCTCTCTCTCTTCCTCTATCTAAACCTATCCTCTCATGAGGATTAAATAAAACACAAAGATTTAATCAAGAGGGACAGTTTGAAGAGTATCCTATATAATAAAGACGTAATATACAAAATGGCCGCCACAAGATGACCGGCAGGGGAGGGCAGTTGGGGGCAACCAGGCCTGCAGGAGAGGGAGGGCAGTTGGGGGGATCAGGCCCGCAGGGGAGGGCAGTTAGGGGCGACCAGGCCTGCAGGGGAGGGCAGTTAGGGGCAACCGGGCCAGCAGGGAGGGCAGTTAGGGGCAACCAGGCCTGCAGGGCAGTTAAGGGGGGGCCAGGCCTGCAGGGGAGGGCAGTTAGGAGCGACCAGGCCTGCAGGGGAGGGCAGTTGGAGAGGACCAGGCCTGCAGGGGAGGGCAATTAGGGGCAACCAGGCCTGCAGGGGAGGGCAGCTGGGAGCAATCGGGCTGGCAGGGGAGCAGTTAGGGGGTGATCAGGCTGGCAGGCAGAAGTGGTTAGGGGCAATCAGGCAGGCAGGCAGGTGAGCGGTTGGGAGCCAGCAGTCCCGGATTATGAGAGGGATGTCCGAGAGGTTTAGGCCTAAACCGGCAGTCGGACACCCCCCGAGAGGTCCCAGATTGGAGAGGGTGCAGGCTGGGCTGAGAGGTAACCACCCCAGTGCACAAATTTCATGCACCGGGCCTCTAGTAGGGAAATAAAAACTCAAACTGGGAACTGAAAGGAAACAGAGAAGTTTTAAAACTAGTCGCATCCACTTGGAGGACAATTAGTTATATACAGTGGGGCCGTGACTTACGAGTGTCCCGACTAACGAGTTTTTTGAGATACCAGCTGTCTCTCGGCCAATTTTTTGCATTGAGTTGATAGAGTAATTTGAGTTAACGATCTCCTTAACGAGCTCCTTAACAAGCTCGGTCTTGGAACGAATTAAACTCATAAGTCAAGGCCCCACTGTAATGCGAAATAGCTGAGAAGCCTCCAAATATCCAGATCTTTGGTTTATGTGTCCTGGCATAAACTGTTCCATCCTTCTCTGAATGATAGTATCTTCTGAATAAATGAATATGGCACTTATAATTTATACCAGTTTACTTAGATATTGTCTAATAACTGATTGCCTTTGTTTCATGTGTGCTTTCAACTACACAGTAGAGACTACATCGTAATTTTCACTTCTGTATTACAATAAAGAGCTGTCATTTATTAAGTGTCTGCTATGTGCAGACACTATGCTAGGCTTTTTAAATAACAGTATTTATAATTAAGATCAGGAATATTAGTGAGTGCGGGAAGCCACTACTTGCCGATACTGTCATGAGAGGGCACCAAGGAACACAGAAGGCCGATGGACCTTGGGCGTTAGCAGGGCTGACGCTAAGCACCGATTCTTCAATCGTGTTGAGATAGTGGTGGCTCAAGGCAATTCCCTAACCTGATAATCCTTTTACTGTTTACCAAACTTTACCTTTGATATGCCTGTATGCATTGCAAAAGGGCAAATGTGTATTCAAGTAAATAAATAGCAGACCAGGCCAGAAGTCGGTATGCCTCTTCAAGAAAGAGGTCTCCACCTGGCCCACAATGCCTTCTAAATTCATATTTCTTGTATAGTATTTTCATTTGTGCATTGGCCCCTCCTTCAGATCCTGAACCCCACTGTGAAGGTCGCGGCAGGTGAGGACGCAATACTAAGAGTTGGAAGGATATAGGTGGGCTATTAATGAAGTTGATCAACTAGTGGGAAGAACCTAAAGCAAGGGGATGGCTTACTGCCCAGCCCTTAGGATTACAGGGATATTCATTAGACCTCTCTACCTCAGAACCATTTCCTATGTTGACTCATTCTTAATATCCTCTCCTGATTAAATATAAGTATTCTTGTTGGGCTGAAGTGGAGTCTCAGTTGGTTGAGTATCATCCATGCATTGAAAGATTGCTGTTGATTCCTGGTCAGGGCACATACCTGGGTTGCAGTTCAATCCCTAGTTGGGGCCTGTACCATCAAACACTCTCTCTCTCTCTCTCTCTCTCTCTCTCTCTCTCTCTCTCTCTCTCCCCTCATGTCCTGGGGTGAGGATTAAAATAAATAAATGTTAAAATAAGTAAATGTAAGTATCCTTCTTCTTAGAGGATCAGACATTTATACTTTATCGAATTAGCACATTTTTAGGGTAGTTCCTAAGGACTGGACCTGTGGACAGTGCAGACTACTTGGTGGGAGAAAAATTGAGGGAGCAACTTAGTGGGAGAAAGAGAAAAAACTGGGAAGACTGGAAACAGTAAGAAACATTTTGCTTTATAAGTTTGCCCAGCATGAGCCTTAAAGAACAGAGTGAACCACTTCTAGCCACAACTGCTCAAACAGAAAAGACCATTAAGGGAGTAACACTTCAGAAGTCACAGCTGAAGAGCCTTTGTACCACAGACGTCAGTGTATTCAGTCTTAATCCTGAAAGTTACCACAGAGTTGCTGAGCACCTAACAGAAAGGAAAGGGGGGCCAAGGAGGGACAAGAACATCTCACTCTCTTTAGACAAGGCAGGTGGTCGAGCACATGTCTAAGAGCAAAGGCTCTGGGACCTGCATTCAATTCCCACACCACCATGCACTGCTGTGTAACCCTCTGATAAGCTGTGCCTTCCTTTCCTCCACAAATTATCAGGATAAATACAAGAGTGAGTCCAAGTACAGTGTCTCAAAGAGAAACCTATGAAATGTCAGATTATATTGTTACTTTATTTTGATCAGTTCACTCACAGAAGGAAGTCTGATGAGCTTCCTAATTTCCAAATGATAAAGGAAATTAACTGATTTTTTGCCTACCTGGGTTCCCCTTATTGAATGTTTAATATGAAAACAGAATTTGCTTAAACATATCCAGACACCATTTCAACGTTTATTCAACATTTATCATCGCTTTCAATGAATAAAGAAATTCTAAGAAATTAGATTGAAATAATGAGGAAACAGCATCCAAACGATATACAAAAATCAAAGGGATATAAATTAGGTGACATTTACTAGTACTAGGAAAGCTAGTGAATGCTACTGAAGGTCATGATAACTATCAATATGTTTTAGGAGAGAGAAAATAACAAATTTTTCATAGTGGGAAACTTTGATAACTTACCTTGATGACATCTTCTGGCCATGCATCAAGAATTGAAGCAATATGCCCTCGATCATGGATACTAATAAAAAGACCTCTGACAGAAAAAAAAGTAGTAGTTTTAATTTACTTCAGACTTATCAAACTATCATGAACATTTAAAAATTTTTTCAAATCAGTTTAATGTTTCTCCATTTTTATCAAACTAGTGAAAATTATTTCCTTAAACAAATAAGACATATAAATCTTATAAGAAAGAAACAAAGTATTTAAACAATATATTGACACCTGCAATAAAGGTATATTCATTCATTCATTACATATTCTTAAGTATTTTTTTAATTAATGAAACATTCATTATTTTGTCTACAGAGAATTTAAATAGCATTATCAATTCCACTCCTAGATTCATTTACAGTCTTTCACTAAATAATATGTATAAAAGCCTTTAAAGAACAACATGAAGCATATGCAAACAGGCATTTTCAGTGTATGTCCCATTTATTAAATCCTAGAGGCCTGGTGCATGAATTCGTGCATGGGTGAAGTCTGGCCAGCCCACCCCGATGGGGGCCGATTGGGCAGGAGCCAGCCAGGGGGAGGTGCCTCTGGTGGTTGGTTGGCCAGCACTGCCCCCGATCAAGTGTGGGAGGGGAGCAATCAGGGGTGGGGTCAGCCAGGGAGAGGGCCAATTGGGGGTGGAGCTGGCCGGGGGAGGGGCCATGGGAGGTTGGGGGTGCCGATTGGCCACCACAGCGCACGTCATAGCGATAGGTCGTTCCGGTCATTCCATTGTTCAGGTAGCTTGGCTTTTATGTATATAGATTCACAGTGTGGAAAGGAGAACATGCATTGGCAATGGCTGAAGTGACTGATACTGCTGAGTAGTCCTTTCATGTGGCACTTACTTGATTTGTGGCTTTAGTTGTTGTTTGCAATGCTGTTATTTAGAGCCTCAGCTGAAGCCTTTTACATTTCTCACCCTTATACCCCCCAGTTCCTATGAAAGTCTAACAAGTCACTGTAAAAATTCAGATAGAAATTTTTTAAATTTCTTAATCTCACTTATAAGTTTTACTTTAGTCTTGTTAAACATAGCTACAGAGAACTACATACAACAAATGTACAGCTTAATGAAGTGTTATCAGGCAACCACCCCTCTACAGAATATCCACTAAAGCAGAGAAAATCTTGTCAGCTACCCAGAGCCCTCTACATGTTTTCTCCCAATCAATATTCCTTCCTCCTAAGAATAACCACTCTCCTGACTTTTATGGTATCATTTCCTCCGTTTATAGTTTCATCATCCAAATAGCAAACCATCCCTATGGATTACTGTTTAATTTGTTTGGTCAAGTTTCCCCAAATCTGAATTTTGCTGATTGCATCTCTTTAGTACAGATTAACATGTTACTCTTCACTCTGTACTTCTTGGAAAATTGGTACTAGTAATTGAATTTAAAGGCTTAAATGGATTCTTCAAATTTTTTTACAAGACACTTGACAGTTTGGTATTATCAGAAGATACATAACATCTTGTAGTCCTTTTTGTGATTTTAGCAGTTGCTGATACATGATATCTAAATTCATTAATTCAAAATGGTGATATTCCAATCCTATCAACCATTATTTATTAGCTGGAACACTTCTTTTTAAATTAAATTTATTGGGTGACATTGGTTAATAAAATTATGTAGGTTTCAAGTGTGCAATTCTATGATACATATAGGTTGCAAGTGTATATTTTGCATTGTGTGCTCATGGAGGGTAGAGGGCGTCAAATATTCGGTGACAGAATAAGATTTTACTTTTGGTGGAACACTTCTTCAGAGAATTTTCACCATACCTATTGTTTAGTTACCCTATGGTAAAGTTTATATTTAAAAAAGGGATAAATGCTTGAGTCTTTCTCTTTACTTATCAGGTTTTTTTGTTTTGTTTTGTTTTGTTTTGTTTTGTTTTAATCCTCACCTGGGGATATTTTTTCCCAGTGATTTTTTTTTAGAGAGAGAATGGAGGGGAAGCAGAAGCGGGGGAGTGAGAGAAACATCGATGTGAGAGAGACACATCGATTGTTGCCTCCCATTGGCATCCTAACTGGGCCGAGATTGAGCCTGCAACCCAGGTATGCACCCTTGACCAGGAATCAACCTCCGACCCTCCGAACTGCAGGCCAATGCTCTAACCACTGAGAAAACTAGTTAAGGCTACTTATCAGTTTGTTTGTTTTTTAAAAGAATGCATTTGTTAGAATCCTTCAAGAGTTTCCCCTAAAGTGTGTGTGTGTGTGTGTGTGTTGGATCAATATGAACTCAGGAATTTAAACATATTTTGTCTGAATCCATTACAGTTATTATCTTTATTGAAACCCAAATTGTCCCATTTTTAACCAGTGGAAAGCTCTTCGCATTGGCCCCTGAGCCTTTCTGATAGCTTCCTTAATCTCTGCTATGAAGATATTCCATTTTGTCTTAAAAATGTTTGCCCCAGGCCAAAATGAGCCATTAAGAAGCCCAGCTTTCTTTTAGTAGAAATACAGAGTGGTGTATTTGTTACAACTAATGAACCTACAGCTGACACATCATTATCACCCAGAGTACATAATTCACATTAATGTTCATTCTTTGAGTTGTACATTCTATGGGTTTAGAAAAATTTACAAAGACATCCTGTATAATAAAAGGCTAATATGCAAATAGACTGAATGGCGAAACAACTGAACAACTGGTCACTATGATGTGTGCTAACCACCAGGGGGCGTGCACGGAACATGGCGGGTATTGGCCGCAGTGGGATGGTGGAGCAGGTGAGCAGGGGCGCCAGACCAAGGCGGGGTGAGGGTTGCTGTCATCGGGGCGAGCCTCTGGTGGTTACTGAAAATTCTTTGCTCCCAAGCACCGCAGTCCTGCCCAGTGCTCACACCTGCTGCCAGCGCCAGCCCAGCTCACACCTGCTGCCAGTGCCCGGTGCCGGTTCCAATTCCTTGGCACCATCGGTGGGTGCAAGCAGCGGCTCTAGGCCCTGATCATCCCTGAGGGCTTCTCCCCTCCCACTGCTCCTGAGGGGCTGGCCCCACTCACACCCACTGCTGGCGCTGGCCCCAATCGCTCCACACCATCAGCAGGTGCGAGCGGGGCCGGCGCTGTCAGCGCAGGGGAGCGGTGATGGTGGGAGCGGGGCTGCAGGCAGAGAGGAGACTGGGGCTGTGGTGGGAGGGGTCAGATTGGGGTGAAGAGATGGGCCAAGACCCACCCCTGTGTCCACCGCAGCCTCGCAACCCACAGTTCCTTTCAAGGTACACGAATTCATGCACTGGACCCCTAGTATTGCTATAAACATTCCCGTGCATATTTGTGTGTGTAAGTCTTGAACTCATTTGGGTAAATACAGCAGGACCTCTAATAACATTGTTTAGTTCAACATTGATGAGGGGAAAAAATCCATTCCCAGCCAGGGCCACTGTGTATGTAGAGTTTGCATGTTCTACCTCTACTGCTGCCCCCCTTCCATTCCACACACATATACACACAAAGCAGAAAACTACTTAAGTAAAGAGACTCTGTTTTGCTCATATTTTTACCCCTAATTCCTATAAGTACGCTGGCACATAGTATGTGTCCAACAATGTGCTCTGACTTCAGTGTTGAAAAATAAAGCTTCTACAATCTTTTTTTTAAGTACAGAAAATATGAAATAAAGCCAGACTTAGTATGACTTATTAAGTAACCAAAAATTATATGATAATAGTAAGTGCTACAGGCAGATTACTGATGACTGTCTGACTCAACAAAAATATTAATTTTCCAAGTTGGCAATAAACTATATCCTTTCCTGTTTTTTTCACTGTTCCATGTGAATTTATTTTGTTTCACGAAATAATTATAAGCTTCTTATAAGTTATACATATTTCTTTTGGATCCGTGTTATATCCAACTCTGCAATCAAAAGATCTAAATAAATAATTGCAAAATTAGAAGGAAATGTACTTGGGCTTATAAAATAAGGCATTTTTGTTGAATTATCTAAGATGTTCTTGGCAGTATAACATTAAATAATATTCTTGGGAACTTGCTAGTTAGCCAAGGTTTTCTAAGTAACACTGGTCTGAGAAAACAGTATCATTTTTTAAAACAAGAGGGGTACAGAATGATACTAAATTTTACATCAATTAAATGCCATTATGTAAAGATATGAGTACAACTTCAGTGAGAAAGCAATTTGACCACCTGTAATTTCTTGCTCTGGCTAGAGATTCATTTGTGGTAAAAATGCTTACTCTCAGAGAGATCTCAATAAATTAAGGATCTGCAATATCTCACCAAAGTCAAGCATTTTGAGGGAATAATTTTCAAAACTTCTGGAATGATACTTTGATCAGAAACCTATTGAGATATCCAAAAACATTTCAGCACAGTAACGACTCATACTCATAGAGCTGAATATGAAATATTAATTCTCAATATATACATATAGATATAGTTAAAAATGAAATGTTTAGACAAGAAAGTTATTTATCAATGATATTTTAATATTTAATTTTAAAATGTGGCCATGTGTTTATTATTTTAATCAGTAGGTTTTAATCTGTAGCAAACATTATATAGTTGACTAGAGGCCCGGTGTATGAAAATTCATGCACTGGAGGGGTGTGCCTCAGCCCAGCCTGCCCCCTCCACAGTCCAGGAGACCTCAGGGGCGGGAGGCGACCTGGTGATCAGGGGAAGGCGACGCCCCATCACACCTCTGCTGCTGCCACTGCCGGCAGCGCAAGCCTCGGCCGGCCCTGGTTACCTGTGCCTCGGCGGCCCTGGGCAGCTGGAGGGCTGAGGTCACTGGGGGACTCCAGAGGCAGGTGCACAGAGCAGCCGGGCCTGCCTGGCGATGGGCCCAGCCTTGCCACATGCCTGCCACCCCGGCGGGGCTGAGGGGACTTGGCGCCGCCATCTTGTGGCTGTGGACGTCGCCATCTTTGAGGGCGTGGCAGTCAATTAGCATATTCCCTCCTTATTGGCTGTGGGCGCCACCATTTTTGGGATGGTGTGAGGGTCAATTAGCATATTCCTTCTTTATTAGATAGGATGCTCAAAATACTCCAGC